ATATTTTGATTATTTAAAAAAATAAATGAAAAGTAACTTTTTAGTTAAAAAATTTTAAACATTATAAAAAAAATATTTTATAATTTAAGAGATAATATTATATAAACTAAATAAAAAAATAAACAATAGCTAGCTATCAATTGTATTAAAATTATAAGTTAATTAAATTACATATTATAATTTTTAATTAATATTTTAAATATTTAAAATTATTATTATATTAAAATATTTATATATAGTTAAGAACTTTATTTAATATTTTTAAATAAAATTATTATTATTATTTTATAAAAAATTATTTTTATTTTTTTTATTATAATTTTATAAAATTATCAAACAAAATTATATATAATTTTATTAATATTAAAAAAATATTATTATTATTTTAAAATACTAATAAATTTATTTTAATATTTATTAATTTAATAAAAAAGTTTTTTCATATAATTTTAAAAAAGTGATATTTTTTTTGTTACCACTGTATATACAGTAATTAAAATAAATCTTATATTAATATAGTTTAATTAATAAAAAATAATGACTAACCTTATAAGTAAGCTTTTTTTTAAACGGATACGTCACCTAGGGCATTGTTATTACGATATTACGTATATTACGTATACAATACGAATCAATCAACGAATGCTATGGAATGACATAGAAATTCCAGATTATTCAAGATCCTTCTTTGATCTATCCGATTGGTTAGATTTTACTAATGGAAAGCTATATATAAATAGACGAGAAGTATATAAGGGGAATAGATTTGGCAATAGATTTGGCAATAGATTTCGGTCTAGAAACGACTTTAATTCTAACGTCTAAGAAACATTTGCATTAAACAAAGCTTTCCTATAATGTCCGTCGTAGGTATGTAACAGGGTGCCTACACATTGTTCTCAAAGTATGAGTTTAATCAGGTTATTTATATAATCCATACCATTTCAAAAGGCATCGATTTTGGTAATCTCCAGTCCAAGATTGCTGTTGCACGCAATCGTGGAATTGACGTTATTTGTAACGAAGTTTCAAACAGAGCTACTCCGTACGTGATCTTCCATATTTGTTTTATATAAATTTCTTTTTTGTAATTTTGGTGATTTATGTTGTATACTTTTTACTTAGATAAAGGCCGCCGAGAATTACTATTAATTCTCTATGCGATTGATTTTCATTCGTTAATTAGGTCTTTGGTCTCATTTGGAAATAAGACTAGATATTTAGGTGAAGCAGCCAAAACGCAGGAGATTTCAAATTTCAAAAATACCGTTGCCTCTTTAAAACGTCTAGCTGGTCGGTCTTATCACGACAAGGAAATTCAAGAGATAGAAAAGCATTATATCAATGCAGACCTGGTAGATGAAAAAGGACAAGTCGCAGTGAAGGTTGGATTATACTCTATCTTTATTTATAAATATAAGATAATTGTTACACGATTAAATTCTAGAATTAGTGTGAAAATGGTTTATACTCATTTATGTTGCACAGGTCCAATATCTTAACGAAGAACGCGTATTTACAAGCACTCAATTGATCGCTATGTATTTTACCAAACTCAAAGATATAACTTTTGCGGAGCTTAAAATTCCCGTTTCTGATGTAGTAATTTCAGTACCTGGATGGTTTTCCGATATTCAACGTCGAAGTATCCTTGATGCTGCCGAAATTGCGGGTTTAAATTGTTTACGTCTGTTTAATGACACCACCGCTGCAGCACTGGGATATGGTATCACCAAGACAGATCTGCCCGAGGATAAGGATAAGCCCCGAAATGTCGTATTCGTTGATATTGGGCATTCATGTTATGGCGTGACAATTGTTTCATTTGTCAAGGGACAGTTGACTGTTAAGTCTACTGCTTATGATAGGCACTTAGGCGGTCGTAATTTTGATCAACTTCTAGTTGACCACTTTGCCGAAGTATTCAAGGAAAAATATAAGATTGATATTAAATCAAATCAAAAAGCACTTTTCCGACTTCGCACTGGAGTAGAAAAACTTAAGAAGGTGCTTTCAGCTAACACTCAAGCTCCTCTCAATGTCGAATCTATAATGAACGATGTAGATGTTAGTGCTATCATTTCTCGTCAGGAATTCGAAGAGTTATCTCAGCATCTTATTGATAGGATAGAAGCACCTCTTGCACAAGCACTTCAAGATTCTGGGCTCGCTTTAGAAGATATCCATTCAGTCGAAGTTGTCGGTGGATCAACGCGTATTCCGGCAGTTAAAGAAAAGATTTCAAAGTTTTTTGGACAAGAATTGAAGTATACCCTTAATCAAGATGAGGCAGTTGCACGTGGATGTGCACTTCAATGTGCAGTTTTATCTCCTGTGTTTAAGGTCCGCGAATTTTCCGTCCAAGATATCACCTCCTATCCTATTAAAATCACGTGGGAAAAAATCCCAGAAATTCCAGATGAAGAATCGGAACTTTTAGTATACCCCAAATCCAATGCCATTCCGTCCACGAAAATATTAACGTTTTACCGAAAACAACCCTTCGACATCGAGGCTTATTATGCAGAATCTGACAAAACTCCAACGCATATTAGCCCTTGGATCTCCAAATTTTCTATTAAACAAGTTGAACCTACCGAGAATGGTGACTTAAGTATCATAAAGGTCAAGTCTAGGCTCAATGTACATGGAATTCTTTCTGTAGAAAATGCTCACGTTGTTGAAGAAGTCATAAAAGAAGAAAAGGAAGAAGTAAGTGAATCTCAACAAATGGATACTGATGCCAAGCCTGATGAAGCCTCCAAACCTGCAGTCAAGAAGGTGAAGAAACTTGTGAAGAAAGGAGATTTACCGGTTGTTTCTGTTCATGGCGGATTAGACAAAACCGCTATTATTCACTGCAAAGAACTTGAAGCACAAATGATTGCATCTGACAAACTTGTCGCCGACACAGAAACCCAAAAAAATGCACTTGAGGAATATATATATGATATTCGTTCAAAAATTGAATCGATATATTCCGAGTTTGTAAATCCGGCTGACAAAGAAGGTTTTACTAATCTTCTCAATGAAAATGAGAATTGGCTTTATGATGAAGGAGAAGATTCAACAAAATCTGTTTATATGGAAAAGCTTGATCAATTGAAGAAGTATGGAGTACCTATTTATGATCGTTATCGCGAAGCAGAAGAACTGCCAAAAGCAGAGAAGTCATTGCGGGATAGTATAAGCTCTTTTATTCTCAATGCTACCAGCAATGAGGAAAGGTTTGCACATATTCCTGAAGAAGAGAAGAAAAGCATTGTAGATAAAGCCACTCAAATTTCGGCATGGTTAAATGAGAAACTTGCTGCTCAAGCCAAAATTCCGAAATATCAGTCACCTGTTATTACATCTCGTGAAATTTTAAAGGAGCGTGAGGTTTGTATTCTTATTATTATCATTTATGATTGATCTTTCATTACTCAAAATAATAATTTCATATCTAGGACCTTGTACATTTTGCTTCTCCAATCTTGTCAAAGCCTAAGCCCAAGCCTGAACCCAAACCTGAAGAAATTCCTGTCCCCGAATCGACGTCAGAAAATAAAAACACTGAAGCTCCAAAATCAGGTGAAACCACAAACGAAGATCCAAAGAAAGAACAAAATCCTGTGGATGAAGATATCAAGATGGATATCGATTCGTGATCAATGATTTTTTATAGTTTAGAACATTTTCAGCAGAACAATACGTCTCTGCCTTATAATATTTATTTATAGAGATCGCTGTTGATTACGATCTTAAATATTTTTCCACGAAAAAATTCCTTGCATTAACAATTATATACTTTAGAAAATAAAAATGGTAGATATTAGCGATTTTTACTTAACAAGTCTGACTTTCAACACGTTTCTAAGTGTATATATATATGAAAAATATTAATGATTTGATTAGAATTGTAATAAAAAACATGATAAACTTATAAATATCCCTAAATTAAAAATATAAATGGGTTGGTACACAGCAAAACCATGCTTTGAAAGATTTTAGTGGATTATATTCCCAAGAATGCTCTTTAACCGTGATAAAAGTTTGAATATATAGTAATTTGGTACAATCTCGCGCGCAGTTTTTTTATTTTATATGGTTCGATATATAAATTTAGATTGATAATCGTCGATATCTCCAAATAAGGATTTTGTTTCAGAGCATGGTTTTGCTATGTACCAATCCAAATGATATTAAATAAAAAGAATTATTTGTTAAATAACACAAATATTTTTTAAATTAGAATATATATATATATATATACTGTATATCGAATAGTTTTTTTATTTCTTAAATTATATTAAAAAAGTTGTAAGAATTTAAAAAACCTTAAATCATTAATATAATATAATAATAACTTATATATACGTATATATTTATATTTAATTTCAAATATTAAATATGATTTTTATTAAATAAGTTTATAGCCATTACATTAATAATTTTTATATAATTAATAATTTTTATATAATTTGTAAATAATTATAGCCAATTGCAACAACAAAGTAATAAAACAATTAATAATTAGTATAATTATAAGAATAATATTAAAAATTTAAAAATTATATATAAATTTATAAACTTATTAACAAATGTTTTATTATTTTAAATAATGTTTAATTTTAGTGTAATAAATTTATTGTATTATTATATTATTGTTTTTTTGTAAATATTAATAAACATATTTATATATTAATAAATAATAATAATAATAGATATCAACTTAAAACTTATTTTGTTTTTCTTAAAATTTTAAAAAACTTTTTTTTTAGGAAATTTTAATAAAACAAGTTGTAAAGTCTTATAAAGTTATTATTTTTTTTAATTTTTTTTCTTACTTTATTATTATTAAAAATAAAAATTCTTTTTTAAAAAGATATCTGGTTGTTTTTTTTCTACTATAGTTCAAGAAGTTTGGATTAAATGGTTCCAGATGTTATAAGCAAAAGATCAAATCCTAAGTTTATTAGATAAAATATTAGCTTCTTCTTTAAAATAAAAAGTTACCTTTATTAAAACTAACATAAAACTTTTTATATTTTAAAGTCCTGTTACATATAAGTCAACTTTAAAAATTTGGTTATAAAAACTCAAACTATATAAGAATGAAACTTTTGATCAAATTTCTTAAAACTAGGCATCTTGTAGATAAAAATTGTATAAAGAAAATCTTTGACTTGATATCTTTTTTGCATATAAGTAATTATTTTTGAAGGTTATAAAAATGCTAGATATGATTTTTTCGGACCCAGCTTTTAAACAATACATATACTAGGAAATGGAAACTATTATGGGTCCAGAGCAAAAAATTATAAATAAATTTATTATAAAAAAATATATTAAAATATATATACTTTATA